GTCTATTTGCCATTGTCTGCAGTAGTTTTACATACTTGGTATGTAAAACTACTGCAGACAATGGCAAATGACGAAAATAGAAATAAAACGAAAAAAAATAAATGACGAAAATAGAAATAAAACGAAAAAAAATGAAGAAAGAGAAAGACATAACATAAAAAATTAGAGTAAGAACGAAAAGAGATATCACGTAGTACAGTAGATGCACAGTACATTGGGAAATATCTCATTTGTTAATTCTTATCGAAGTTACGTAAAGACTGAAGTGGATACTGAAACACAACCCTTTAAATAAAAATAATAATTACACTATGACATAACGANTAGAGTAAGAACGAAAAGAGATATCACGTAGTACAGTAGATGCACAGTACATTGGGAAATATCTCATTTGTTAATTCTTATCGAAGTTACGTAAAGACTGAAGTGGATACTGAAACACAACCCTTTAAATAAAAATAATAATTACACTATGACATAACGAGTAAATACAGTTAAGAATGTATAGGTTTCTCTTTGAATCTGAAAACATTGTCATTATACGAGATTTTCGTTATTATTCAGGTTTGGAATAATGACAGTGAAGAAAAGAAGCTTAATATTTAGCTGATAATTAAATGTATATGAACAGGATAAATATCGTGTGAGGAGTAATTCTATTACGCTACACGCGCGACTCACAGATCTGTTTAACTACACAAACTGTATAAACTTCCTTTCACTACTAGCAGTGAAAAGGACAGCACCATTAAGCATCAAGACGTTGCGTTAATAAGACACAACGTTTTGATACCTAATGGTGCCATTAATCTAGACACAAGGCATATTTCGATGTAAAGAAATTCTAATAATTTCTGTTCTTTGTTCTGTCAGGAAGCTTTCCAAAATTACTTCTCACTAAATAATTTTCTATTAGAACTACGTGATCTTGGATGTTTCTTACTTCGTAATTATTTAAAATTAGATATCACGGTAACTTATTTCTGATTTTTTTATTATCTACGTAGTTTTTTAGAAGTGTACTAACGATTACGATTTATTTCATAATTTTTAACACAATTCTTGCTTTAATCTATTTTTTCTTCATGTTTTTTTCTGTACAAAACTGAACTAACACAAGAAACGTTCCTACTTTTTTTTCATTGCTTCTTCGTTTCCATTTATTTTCTTGCTACAAAATAATATTTTTCTTTAGTTTTGTCATAAAGTTCAGACTTGACATTTTCTACTTGATCAACACCACATTCCTTACATTCTGCCTGTTTAGAAATTTTCCTATTTGATAAGATTGGAACAACTTATATATCCTTACATATTCAGAGTGCAACTATGCAAATTTAACTATGTCTGTTTATGCAAACACATGTGTTAGTTGTACTTTCTTGAACATTTCTTATTGTATATACAATCAGTGTAGAATAAGTTAATTTTTTTAAAGAAATTTTTTGTAAAGAAAAATGTAATAAGAAACACCATGATTTATTTGTTTATATTTTTAAGATTTCATAATATATACATTAGCACTTCAAAAATTTTTTCGTTTGATTAAAGTTCGTATCATTTCCAATAACATGAGCATATAGCTCATAATTAGAGGATTTGATCCCGGGATCTCGAAAATCGGGATCCCGTGATCCAGACCACTTTTCATTCCCAAAATTTTCGGGATTAAGTTTTCCTAATCCCGAGATTTTCGGGATTGACATCATTTTAAAAAAGTTGCAAAATAGACTGCATGAACCGAAACGTTCAGTGCCAGTGCTTTTAACAGAATTGCTTGTCTATCATTTTAATATAAAATACAAGAAATTTTATTCCAAGCAAGCATCAGAAATTAACCTAGCGGGCTTGAGATGCTTGCTTAGAATAAAACTTCTTGTATTTTGAACTAAAATGATAGACAAGCAGTTCTCACTGGGTTACTTGGTAATATACTTCATTTTTGTATTTTTGAATTTTCGCGGGCGCCAATCGATTTTCTGGCGCAGTCGAGAGCACTACTCAGTGCGTTTTACCTGTCAATGTGTCAGCCATCTTGTTTTGCCAGTGTGGTTAATATAGACCCGACGCCTCTCGCTTAGGGGGGTCGACCTTAGGTGAAAAGGTTACGACCCCCGCCTTGCCCGTGATCTGTCAGGATGATGCGAGAAAGTCTTTTTACGTTTGGGAGTAGTGGTTTGCTGGATGCTGAGAGACTCACACAGAGACCGAATTTACAAAATTAACGTGTTTATTTTTAGAAAGGCATGCTTACAATGATCGAAACAATCGGGATTGTAGCCTTTACTCCTACAATCCCGATCTGTGTCGACCGGACTGTTTTCTTCCAACCTCCCCGTGTCCTCGAAGCTATAACTAGAACGGGCTTATAAGTATTTACTAACGATTCCTCCAACTTCCATCAAACCTAAACGCGTTTTCTCAGCAGCTGCATATATGTGCAACAAATTGAGAAGCAGACTTGGTGATGAGACACAGGATGCGTTGTTATTTCTCAGATCATATTTTCGCAATTCAAATTAGAATGTTCCTATTAGATTAGTTTTCTTTATATTTAAGAAAAATGTGACTGATTAATATTATTTTTAAATACTTTATGCTAAGAAACTTACTTTACCTACTTACTAGGTTGTTATACGAAAGTAGTCTATTTAGTCGATGTTAAGAGAGATTTTTGTTAATTTTCAACGTTTATTTGCATAGTTTGTTACATAAAGGTTTTTTCAATTTATGTAGTTTAAAGAGATCTCAGTGATGCTTAAAAAACAATAAATTTAACATGAAGACTGAGTGATTTTAAGTCTGGTTAGTCTGACTCTAAGTCTGATTAGTTAGAGTGATTAAATTAGCTAGGTGTATACGGTAAAATACGTTGATTTTTGTCTAAATTTTGATTTGTTGATTTCTGTAAGACTTTCTTATTTTTTATTAACCCTCAATACCGAAATAATCCCGGGATCCCGGGATTGACTAAGTATAATCCCGAAATCCCGGCATTAGAAATAAGGATCGAGATCGAATTCCCTACTCATAATGGATTCACACGGCTATTAAATCATTTAGTTCTAAGGAATTTAAACTTGTTAAGGACAAAATATGCAGTATGTAATACAGTAGAGCATGGATTATCCGACTTAATTGGGGACTGGGGTTGGTCGGATAATTGAAAAGTTTGATAACCGAAAAGTTTGAAAAAATCCATTATTCGTGTAGTATATTATTATATCCGATGTAATTAGTATATTAGTATATCGCTATTACCCTACTTCGCATTGAATTTTCATCGATGTTAAACCTAACAAATTTTTTTAAATTAATAATCGTCGCTATTGCATCCTTAAAAATTATTTTATTGCTTACAAAACAAACAACCACTCATAATTAAAAAATTCAGCATCGTTTAAATACTGGACTCCCTTTCATGGTCGAGCCAGTGTTGCCAGCTAAAACACGCAAAAATTTAACAAAAATAATATTGAAGTAGCCAAGACATAGCCAAATATTGTAGCGCCACATCACTAGCGGACATTTCAATTTGCCGACTAGAACGAGGTCGGTTAACCGAGGTGACGGTTAATCGGGGGTCGGATAATCGATGCATTAAAATATCATAAAAATTGCAGATTCTTTAGAAATACTGATCAAAAGTTTGGAACAGTTTCAGAATGTAAATTTAATTAGTTAGTCTGATGTAAAAGTACATGAAAGCCACTTAAGATATGATTTTCTGTTGTTAAAAATAATTATATTTGCAATGGTTTTCGATGTATTATTCATTAACTTTATGAAGGAAATTGCTAGCCAAAAGCGAAATAATTTATTTAATTCACTATCCCATTAAAGATTAATTTGGAATACACCATTATCGTTATTATTAATAGCACTATAAAATTTTCAGAGATAATGAGTTTACGTAACCAGTATTTCTATGAACAGTTTCATTTCGTTCTTTATAACCTAGACACGAATACAGACTGAGCATGAATTCGAATTTACAAGACGTGTGTCTGAGCTGCTTCATCAGCCCTTGTTGGACAACGGCTCTTATATTTGGGTTGGACGCATTTGAAACTTGTAATTGTAAATGCTCAAAGAAAGGGAAAAAATTTCAAAATACCAAATTGAAAAATAGCTATATTCGATTTATCGAACTGACTTTACGCGGATATACAATTCTTCTCATATGGCAAATGATCCCAGTAGTCAATGAATATGCGATATGCATTGGTTGGTATGACGTATACGGAAGAAATTCCATGTTATTTAAAATAGTAATTACTGTTATATTTATCATTTATTGTATTGCATTCGACTACATTAAACGCAACAAATTCAATCTGATTAAACCATTAAGGAATAAATGCTTTCGAGTAAAAATGATTAACGAAAATAACATCTTATTACAACATGTTACTCTGCTCTTTTCATTTGTTATAATATTAGCCATTGATTTGAATCAAATTGCGGCCACTGTATTTCTCTACCCTTACATAGAAATGAAGCAGAAATTTCATGGGGAAACTGTCTTCTGTAGTGCATTCATATCCTTAAGTGCAGGTTTTCTTATTGGCGGAATCGGTAACATCTTATTCTTAGTGGCATTATTAGTGCTGATCTCCCATAAGGAATTTGAGCAATTGTCGAGGAAGCTGCTTTTAATAAAAAAGATCGATTATGATTTACGAGAAAAGCTAAACGAATTAATGATGCATCATGAAGAACTTTGGGTTTTCGTTCAACAGTTAAATTTTAAATATAATTTTGTATTTGGATTTCTTTACTTCGGAATCCTTTGGGGGACAAGTTTTTTATATTATGCGTTTTTGTTCTTAGAACATCATTATTTTATTAAATTTTTTATACTTTTATTGATGATACTATTCACTTGCTTTAGCATAATCTTTGGCTGTCTGCTGTGCTCTTTAGCATTTACGGTAATTACACTCTATATGCACTATTAACATATGCTTTAGATGCTTTATAGTTGCTTTTTCTTGTAGATGGAAAATACATTTCAAGATATCAGACAATTTGCAGGATGTGACATTGGAGAAAATCAAAAACTAAAGGTATGAAGTTTAAATTGCATTTAAACAAACATTTTCCTAATGTTGACAATAATTTCAGATTTTGAACTTCATGAAAAGATTCGGAAAAGTCTCTCTCTGTCTCACAATAGGTAGATTTTTGATTATTGACAAGAGAATTCCCCTGAAGGTTGTATTATTTTCTTAATTAATTGCGGCTTTGTAATTATTTACAAATTTTGTGTTTTACTGGAAATAAATTAAGTTAAATTTAATTTTTCAGATGGCAAAAACGTTGCATTCGGTTTTCTCTGGTTTCAAAAAGCTAAAAAGCATTTCGAGTGAAGAACAAAACTGTTCACAGATTTATAAAATTAATTTCACCGAAACGAATTAAAAAAATAAATAAATAAAACTTCTGTAGACAATATTCTATATATGAAAATATCTAAGATATCGGGATGACAATTTACACAGGATTTGTGTAATAATTTATAATATTATACTGTATATCCAGGGTGGCCAAGCTCCTTGATAGTCCGAGCCATTTTTCAAAATTTGAAATTTTTCGCGAGCCGCAATTAAATACGTATTAAAAGTGTATGCAAAAAATTTCAGATTACGAATTATATCCATAGCAAGAGTGATACAAATTGTTTCCTCCAGAGCACAATGTCCAATGTCCGTTGCAATGACAGTTTACAAATTCAAAATTGGTCTGGAGTCGGTCGATAACGGACGATTACGCCACTGTTTATGTTCGTTCGCACAGTTTTCAATGAGTCATATCAGTCTTAACTTGGACAGAAATGAAATTTGTTACAACGTTGCACTTAGTCTTTCATATTTGTTGTAAGTAATTTAAAAGACATTTTGAAACACATACGGAATGATAATAATTTTTTTAAAATATTATAACACAAAAATGAAAAGGGAACTCGGGTACATTTATCAAGAGCCACAAATAATCCTTCAAAGAGCCGCATATGGCTCGCAAGCCGCACGTTGGCCACCCCTGCTATATATAATATATAAATGGAATATGCAGTAGCCTTTACGCGTGTAATGTTTGTCAGTAACGGATAACGATAATCAATGCGTTTCTAACATTTTTCTGAAAATGATTTGTTATTAATACACTCATTAATCTGATTACAGTAATAGGAATTCATTCCCATTTAAAGCAATATAAATATCGTTCAATTGCAATTCGTTTTCCGAGTATACAATATGCTTTCTACCATAGAATTTATAACGATTGCATTATACAACGTCGTACGTCATTTCGCTTATATATGACTATTGGTATACATTTGTATCTAGCGTTACAGGAAATACGTTTCACTTATATTTTAATTCGATCTTCATCATTACGCCCCTACCAGATACGAAGTGTAGAAAAAAATTAATTCGCGTAACATGGAGACTGTTTGCATTAATTGTTTTCTAAGACCTTGTTGGATGGTCGCCCTTGTATATGGCATAGAACCGTTGCTTGTTGTTGCTGCTGCAAAAACACAGATTATATATTTGAAAACGATAATTTAAGAAATAAATATATTAAATTTATTTCTTTTATGGAAATCTGCCATTTATATGGCGTGGCAAGCTTTAACAGGTTTAGGGGAATATGCAGTTTGTATTGGGAGGTTCGTCACATACAAAGGTGATATGTGATACAAAGGTGAATGTCATAGCTGCACTTTTACACTTCGTTTACTCGACTGCTATAACTTTTGTCAATAACAACAAAATTAGTCTTATTACAATACTACGAAACCAACATTTTTATGTGAAAATGAATATTGGACAGAATCTTCTAATGAGAAATATCACACTTGTGAACCGCCGGGGAGGTTGGAGGTCTCCCTTTCCGGCGACAGGTCGTTAAACCTGCTCACTGTCAAGATGGCTTAAATGTTACTTCTTCCCTATCCCGCGGTAACGAGATTTAATTGTTCGGATCGAGTGGAGGAGGGAGGAGTGCCGTCGGTAAGATGACAGGCGATATACGAGTAAAGAAAACACCAATTTAACAAGGAAACAACGATTTATTAGCTATTTACATAGACGGTACAATAACGATTATCGAGGGTAGATTCTGAGTCCCTAAAACGCGAAGGACCGAGAGAGAGTTCACAAAAATTTGTTCCATACCTCTTTATGTCTTTAAATATTCTTGAGGAAAAAGATTATATCCAACGGGTTTGAACTGGTAGGATAAGGGTAATAATTTCTCAGGACACAATATATCGATAGGACACAGTATATCAATAGGACACAATATTTGAGGAAATTGTAGTTGGCGGTTGATGAACGACTCCCCCGAAAGGGGGAAGCAAGTGGCTTTTATAGTTTCGTCGTGGGAGAATGGTCATGTGACCAATTGTTGTGAGGTAAAAAGTACTCGGATGGGTCAAAGTTGTCCCCGGGACCATGCTAACTATCAACTTTGGAGTTGGAATGTGGGATTATTTTCGAAATGGACGGATGTTTACTTTGAACGAAAGGGGAGATTAGAATTTTTCTTTTTTTTTAAATTAGATTTTATTTTAGGGTTTAAAGAAAAATTTAATTGCGGGTTTAGGAAAATGCGGGATATAAATCGGAAAAATCGGTAAAAATTCCGGATTTCACAAACTCATTACCGCCCTTATTGGTGTAGTAATAATTATAATGTTTCAAATTATAAATGTGATTTTCTATTATCCCGATTTTGAAGAAAAAGCGAAGTTTCAATCGGAGCCTCTGTTTTGTAGTGTTAACTTTGATGTTGCTGTAAGCCTAATAATAGGAGGAATTGTTCATGGCTTATTGTTAACTGGTACATTGCACAAACAGTTCGAAGAACTTAAGCAATTAAAAGAAACGCCAGTAATTTAAAAATTAAACTACGAAATTTAATGACGGGTCATGGAGAGTTGTGGATTTATGTAAATCTATTGAATATACGAAATTTAAGTTTGTAGTTTTTGTTGTTTTCTTCGAAATTCTCTTGGCTACAACTTTCTTATACCATGCATTTTTCTTTTTTGACACTCATGAGGTTGTACGATTATGGATGTTTCTTTTAATGGTTGGTGTTACCTTCGTTTGCATTATTTCTGCGTATTCGCTGTGTTGCATGCCATTTACGGTAATTATTAGACTTGTTTCTTAAATTAGCTGTTAATGATTTGTACGCTGTAAAAATTATAATAATACGAATTACTGTAAAGCAGTCTTACTGTATTAGTCAATTGCTAAATTCAACAGTTTAGTATTTTCTTTTATATGTTTTTATTCTACAGTATAGAAATAAACGATGCTGTCAGTCATTTATCTGTGAAAAAGATAAATTTGTATATGCCGTTTGTACTAATAACGAGCAATTGTTTATTGTGACATTGTAACAATGTTGGGCGGCGATTTTTAATCATATTTTTAATTTATTTAATTTAATTTAAAATATATGCTTTCTGCCTAAGATTAGTAGTAGCTTGCTCTTGTACACTATACTTTTCATTTAACAATAGAGTCGTGCCAATAAACTGCTTTTAATAGCTTTCATCTTTCAATAGTTTCCTATGTGTGACGCTCATCAAACAATTAGACGCAGGCCACGTAGCCAATCAGAAAAAACGACATTAATTGCAATTGCGTACAGTCTACAAGTGTTCCTCAGCTACAGTTTATGCTATCAAAGTGTAATCGCTGAACTTTAAAACTCTAATAGACACACCAATCCGTACAGAAAAAAACCACAAATATATATATTTTTTTCATTTTTCGACGTTTCAACGATCGATAAGTCCAAAAATGTATAAGTCTTGGGAAGGGTCATTGTTTGATTGGTAACTAAACTTTTCTTCTGTTATATATAATAACCGAGAAAGTATTACAACACGAAAATATATTTTTATATTTTAATTAATAGCTATAATATGCCTACATATTAACATAAGCCTATTTATATTTAATTATAATAAACATTATTTTAAATTTTAATTTATGACTTAAATTCAAAATGGTTTTTTAATTTGAACCTTTTAACCAAATGATTACAAAGAGGTATACACAACAGCGATAGCATACATGTTAATACGAGGCATACACAACCAGTAAGAAATACGCAAGGAAAATGACGGATCTAGCCCTAGATTCTAAAATAAGAAACGGAAGTTTCTTGATTTATATGTATTGGCAAGTTTGAGATGAACCTGATAGGTGTCCTTATTGTTGAGCAGTATGCTGTGATCGCGTGGCCAGTCGTCGGAGTATGTTGAAGTCAGTAGTTTAATTTCGATCTTCTCAGTTTCCAGAATAGGACAACTAAAAATATAATTATCTACGTTGTCTGAAATGGCACAAGTAACGCAATTTCAGTCATTGCTTCTTTCAAAACTTTTAAGATAGAAAAGTGGAATCTTGTGATAACTGATGTGAAGATATGATCGTGCATTATACTCTAGCCACTTGAATCTAGGCCTCATATACTTTATGCAAATCTGCAGAAAGTTTGAAAGTTTGTCCCCATATGCTTCACATATAATTAATCGGAGCTTCCCCTAAGGATTTCATATATGTCTCGTAATTCATCTATCTAACTTCGTTCTCGAAACTACGGAAATACAGACAGAACAATAGTGGGCATATATCTCTACAATTTTTTCATATTGCAGCCCAAATATTGTCAAATATTGGGCGTATAAAAGTCACAATCGAGTTCATAAAACAAGAGTTAATCAGCGGAAGAGTAATTAGAAAGAGTCACCTTTGCGTTGGTAACTATGCTATGCACCCGCAATAAATCTTATATTACAATCGTCTACTATCATCTACCGTTCGTATAACCGCAATAAATATAATCAAATATTAAACCCACAAATATTAATAAAGAATTTTGGTTACTGAGTCATACATTCTTCCAAAGCTAACAGCCACTATCGATGCCACTATATGTGCACATTCTAAGAATGACAGAGCTAACGTTTTATATAATGACTTTCCCTACTTGTATAAACATTAATATTTCAGGAAAGCAGCGGCATATTTTATATAGAAAATTTATTTTATTTTACACAAACGAGTAGAACTAACTGTTATTCTATCTTTCCTTATTATTCTCACTTCGCATAAGTTGCAAAAGAAATGGTATTAGTAAAGTTATATTAAGATATATAGAGGTTTTATAATTACTCTATATTACTAGAGCGGCACAATTAGTAGAATCTACCAGATTATTTTCCTAAAGAAATTAATCATACGTAAAGCTTCTAAAGTCGCTTTTGTGATTGATAGTACATTACATAAACACACTCCATTAAGAAATAATTAGTAATTTTAATTTATAAAATTGATTTTTACGATATATTTAATAATTATAATGCATTTAGAAATGAGAAAACCCACTTTTAAATTATACTAATCACTATACAATAG